TAAAATATAATGAATAATATTTTTAGGATATCATTATTGATATTTTTTAAAAGTACTCAAAAAATTCTTTCAAATTCTCATTTTCGAAGTATTGTGCATAGCTTTATACTTTTTTATATTATACACTATATTTTGGCTAATTATGTCCCCATCGTTTAACAGGTTGAACCCTTTTTAATGGCTCTTCCTGAACCCGAAGTTCCTCGTGGTAAAGAGAATGCTAATCTCCGCTCTGGGCGTCTTCGTAGACAAATCCCTACACAAGATAGAAATCCACATATGGTTCTTAGGGGTTTATATTCAGAAAAAAGTCTACCTGGACAAAATTTGGAAAGTGAAGCAAAGGAGGCTCTTCGATTCCAGCAGGCTAGAAATAAACGTGATCTTGGAATTGGACGTGTAGGTCGAGTGACTCTAAATGATGGGCAGGTAAGGATAATTTTTTTTAACTTCTACTAGCCCATATACACTTAAGCATGGCCTTGATTTGTAGTCTACAGTAATATATTATTCCAGTATTACTAGTTCATTTACCTCTTACATTTCGCAATTATTTTCTTTTTACTTTTAGCATAGCAACTTTTATTTATGAAGAGAGTTTTCGATTTATTTCAGAACACTAAGAATTCTCTTCACATGATCCTTGATTTTTTCCCAAATCCATTAATGCACTAATTTTTCTCAGCTTTTCATAAATATCGGTGGATTGTGATCGTTCATGCTTTGCCAATTCTCTACTTACGTCCTGCTCCAGTGATCTATCGTTAACTTTTCCTTATGACTGCTATTGGTAGTCTTTTTTGGTAATCTAATTGTTTAAAAATAGTTTTTGAAATATTCCAGCCTTAATTTTTGACTTAATGCACACTTCACAGGTCATTTATTTTCAGCCATGAGTAAGTTTCCGTAGTTTCACCATATTTGTTATTTTCATATCTTAAATCCCGCTTAAATTTCACAGATCTATCTTTGCATAATAAAGCTATTTAGCTTAAGATCAACTAATACTTGAGCTTCGCGAATATTTCTCTGCTTTCATTTTCAAGCATGAATATCCTTTACTCTGGGATCTGCGCTCCCTTTTAGGCATTCCTCTCTTAACTAGATAAATTCTAAAGATATCTTCGTGCGTGCCGATACCATGCTTTTATCTATATTTTATTTAATGGCTGGCAATTCTTGCGTTACTCTCTTTAAAAATGTAATCAATCATTGCTCTGCATTTATCCATTACTTCCAACAAATTTTATAATTGGCATTTGGTTTGCAGAACTATAAGCGAATTTAACATATCACAAATAGAACATTTATAAGTAGGGCTTCGAAATAACTGAATAATTTGTCGTAAATTTTGTCTAACTGACTCGTGCTAGTAATGGCTTAGACGGGGAAGAGATAAATAAACTTATTTTGTGCAAAATTTTAGGACTCTCTTGCTTTCTTAATTGATATAATTTTCATATAATTAACTATTTTAGATTAATTGTTATATAATGAGTAAAAAAATGTGACTTGATTAAAGGTGATATAAATTTGAAACTATGCAAATGTTAGATACAGTTTCCGTTTTTAAATTCCATATTTCCATATTTATTCTTCCTTGCTAACTTATATTCGTGTTAGCGTCTATTTTGTATATATTTATTTATAACCGGAGTGTTATGGAACGGTGAGACCATAAAATTAGCCTGGATTGATTTTATAAATTCTCCATTAATTTCTTTCTTTTGCTATTTTATTTGCACTTGGCGTTTCAGATCCTTGCCAATTAGATTATTCAAGACAAGTTGGCCAAAACGTTAAGAATTATTTAAGAAGGAAAATGATTGCACCTCTTGTCGGGCTGTTTGAAATTTCCAAAGATTTGCACAGCAGATGATTAACACACCGTACACTTCAACCATCTTGACATTATTAAGTTTTAGAAGAAGTTGCTTGACCCTGTTTTCGCAACTCGGTCATATTGGAAGGAAGACTTAGAGGAACGCACCTAGTCCGGAGTCCATTGTATGCATCATCATTTCCAGAGTGGGACTGTGTACGTGGTACATTCCCAGTCTTTTCGCCGGCATCGTCAGTAAGTCTCGCCATTCGTAGCACCATATTACAACTCGTCAAAGAGACAAGTGAAGCCCATCTTTTGACCAAACGTGGGCTAAACAGTTATAGTATTTTTTTTTCTGTCCTGGCCTATTCACATTTCTTATATCCTCCTATCACGCCTTCACTGTCACCATTTTTACTTGCTTGATTAAATGTGGTACAGTGTGTCCTTTTTAGCGCCTTTCATGAGAACCCTCCGCACTCCACGCTGGCCTTCTCATCGCCTTTCATCCTTTTGCTGAGAATGTTGATCAGAGTCTGCCATATTGTTACGTAGTCTTTTCCTGGGCCCTATAAAAGTCTCCCTCTTGCTCCGTCGAATCCGTCTGCTATCTTCCTGGTACATGTATTTCACTCGACCTCTGCCCTCCCCCATCTGTGTTATTCCAGGCGTAATTAACCCACCCCTGCGTCTGCGTGACAAATTCGAGGCTAAAGCCTTTGAGTAAGTCTCATGGTCATGCCTTTGCTACATAGACCACGTCTCTTGTAAATCCTACTGTCAGCCAACTAGCTCCAATCGCCGCTTCGTCTATCCTG